CAGGCACCAATATTTTATGCCTGCAAGAGTGCAGATTACTGTGGGAGCAGAATTATAAATGCTTATGAAAACAGTGAAGAGGCAGGGTCCCTCATGGTGGTTGGGCTCACTGATAAATAAATCAGCTGAGGTAGGGATTTTGGTTAAGGAAGGGAGGGTGAAAGTGCAATACCATCCAGCTGCTGGTGTTTAGGGACAATTGCAAGGGACAGTGGTGGTGATGATGGTGGAAGGAAAGGTGGTGGAGCTTTTTAACATGTACACTCCGAAGAGAAGGCAGGATTGCATTGTTTAAAAAATTGGGAATGTGTGTAAAGTGGGAGATTTAAATTGTATTGTTCAAACTGGGGAGCAGGACGGGGGGGGGGGCAAGCTGGACAGCTCAGGGAGATTGTTATGTCAGTGGGTCAAGGAAGAGGGCCCAATCGTTGTTTGGGAAGGTGAGGGAGTGCTCAGATGGGTGGAGTCTGGGGGCAGGAGAGCTTCCCAAATCTATTTTATCTTCCTGTCAGAAGGGTTGCAAGTGAGAAAGAAGGATATCACAGATGTGAGTTTTTCTGACCCCAGGCTGTTGAGGGTGGAGCTGGAGGCTGAATACCGTACACAGCTGCTAGAGGAATATAGACAGTTCAAGGAAGCTTCGAGGCCTGAAGGACATTAAAGGATGTTTTAGATTGAAGTGGGAGTGGTGGGTGATGGTAGAGAAGCAGCTGGGAGGATAGGAGGAAAGCCCAACAGGCCCAGGAGTTGGCACAGGTGAGAGCAAAAGTGCAAGTGTTGATTAGAGGCAGGAAGGGGTAAATGGATATGAATCAAAGAACAGTATTCTCCCCACTGGCATGAGAGGTTTCAACAAGGAAGTCCTACAAGAGCTACTCCAGGTAAACAAGGAAAACCCAATTTACATGTGGAGGCTAAAGCCCTGTCTTGACTGGGAGGTGGGTTTCAGGAATCCTGGAGCCAGTTTCTGGCAACACCTGAGGTGGGACAGGATCCCAGGCTAAGGGACTTGCTTTTTATGGGGGAGATACCAGGGGAACCAAATGGAGACAGAAGCTTGTAAAAATTGATCTGTGCACAACAAATAGGAGAGAGTCCTCCTCCATTTCTGGTTGAGGACACAGTGAGTCTGTGGGAACGACAGAAGAGGAGACAGATGGAGAAGGAATCTGGACTGGAGCCTGGATTGCTACAGTAGCCCCAGGGCAATGCAACATTTGCCAGCATCCCTGAACCTCAGCCTCCACAGAGGCTTGATTTACTAGAGGCCAACCCAAAGTGCACTGCAGATGTGGACAGGAGGGACACCTAAAGAGGGACTGCAAAACAGCTCTGTGCTGTCTGCAACCAGACTGGGGACAAATCCCAAAGCTACAACAAAGAAAAGCATTGCAACCTCTGCAGGAAGGAGGGTCACCTTTTCAGGAAACGCCTGTGGGCAAAAGTATGTAGAAAGGCAAGAGGAGGACGACAAATCCAAGTCCATTACCCCTGAGCCAGAAGTACAGGACAGAATAGGAGTGATGAGTGAGGACGAGATGGAACAGGAGGCAAAGGAAGAGGAAACAGAGAAAGCTCTGCAGAGCCAGAGGACGAACCCCTCTTGCAAACAGTAGTAGAGAGTATTGAGATGTTAAAGCAACTGTCTGGAAATCCAACAGCCACAATAAAGAAACAAGATGAGGAGGAAGAGGGGAAAAGGAAAAGAATCACAGGAGAAGAGAGGGAACCTTGGGCTCAGGGAGAAAGCCTCCCCAGAAAGGGAAGGGGAAAGAAGGGGGGGAAAAAAAAATAAATACTGAAATACAAAAAACTCCTTCCCAGTTAGACCCCCTGGAGGGGTACAGATAGAGCCAGAGTAAGAGCAAGAGGAAAGGTCTAACAGAGATCAACCAGATGAGCTCTGCAGGGAAACCTAAGGAGGGCCCTAGACAAGAAAAAAAACACAAAGTCCCAGAGAGTGAAAGGAAAAAAGCAAAATTGGAAGCCAGGACAGAAAGCGAGGTTCCAGATAGCTAGCCCCTCTCCCCTTCCTGATTCAGATAGCACAGCGAAAAGAATCAACATAGTTTCTATTAACGAGAGAAGTTTGGTGGGAAAAGGAAAGTGGGATGAGGTATTACAAACCCTGGACCAGACAGACACCAACATTATTTGTTTATAGGACTGTAGTCTCCCTAATAACAGCAACAGCTTCTCTTGGCAGAGCAGCCTTGTGGAGTTGGTCAGAGGACAACAGAGCAGCAGGTACTGCTGAAAGAGAACAAGGTGAGTCACCTACAGCACAAAGAAACAGTTGTTCGCAGGCTGTTACAAGCCTCAGTAGAAGCAAATGGAAGTGCTTTTGAACTGTTCACTGTGTATGCACCAGCAAATAAAGCAGCAAGGTGTGCCTTTCTTGATAACATGAATATAATGATGCTGACTAGCAGAGCAGTGATGATTGCTGGGGATTTCAACTGCATCTTCAGCAAGGGAGACAGAGTAAGCAGAGTCCAAAGAACAGGTGTGGACAGGTAGAAAAAACATTTAAAGCTGCATCTGTGGCTGAATCACTGATTCTGAGAATCAGCATCAAATCTTCAGATTCGGCCAAATCAAAAATCAGGACAGCAATCCAAATCAATGAACCAAATTACTGGCCCCCATTCAGGCCGAATTCAAATCAAGTAGGTCCCACTTTGCACACCCCTACTAAACAGGTGTTCACACTCCACAGTCAAGGACTGTATTATAATGGAACTAAGTGAAATGTACTGGTACTACAGGAAGATAGAAGAGGACAAGAAGAAAGAAATGGCAGATCTCATCTGGCAGAGAGGGGTCTGGCATAGACATTTTCAGGAGTAGGCCCTCTGAGGAAGGGCAGTGGGGCAGACAGGTGGGGGTGGGTACAGGTATGGAGATGGCAGCATGAATACAGTACAAACTGTGTAACAGGTATTTAGTGTGCTTTGGAGTTGCCAAGTGAACCACAAGGGGTGTTGGAGGTGGAGATTTTATATATATAAAATCTCCACCTCCAACACCAAGTGGCCCCTGTGGTTCACTTGGCAACTCAAAGCACACTAAAATACCTGTTACACAGTTTGCATATCTCTATATCCACCTCCAACACTTCTTATATATAAAGAAGTTCAGCTCTAGAGAACAGGAAGGGAGTGCAGATATCAGTAGGCAAGAGAAAGAAACTGAGGATGCTACAGGCATGCAAAAAGGAAATGGAGGAAGCTGTACAGAGGAAGAAGGGAGGTATGACTAGAAGGGGATGGTATGTCTCTTATGGAAACAGAGGGGGGGGGCACAGTAACAGCAACCTTTGTCAACATAAAATCCCTTCAAAGTTTGAGGCAAGCGATGGGAATGAGGGGAGGGATAGGAGTTGATGACTGCAGCAGTTAACATGGAAGATCTGGAAAGCAGGAAGAATGTTTCTCTCTTTCCAGTATACAGGGAGGTTCAGCCTGGAGCTCACCCCCCACCCCAAGCCTGGTGTCCCATGCTGGCCAGGCAGCATCCCCTTGTGGGCAGGGCAGCTGCACCCCATCCCTGTGCAGCTGTGCAGGCTGGGTGCTCCCACCTGCTGTGGCTCAAGCCTGGGGAGCCCAGGGACAGCCCTGCTTCCCTCCCTTCCCAAGGGGCCAGCCTGCCTGTGTTGCCTCCCCCCATGCTTGCTTCTCCCTGCACTGCCCAGACCCTGCCCTGAGCACCTGGCCCTAGGTCTTGGTGCTGTCCCCACCTGTGACAGGGCATCCACCTGCCTGAGCCCCCTTAACAGCTCCTGCCCCCCAATAGCTCCTTCCAGGGGCTGGGCCAGCAAAATGGACTGTATCCCTGCCTGGCTTCTCCTGGCACTGGCATCTGTGGCAGCCCTGATCAACTTAAAAAGTGTTTTTATTTTTTTATTTAAACAGTTCTCTCACATGCCTCCTGGCCTGCCAGGGGAAAAAAACACAAACTCTCTCTCTGCCACTAATTGACACACATGCCAGGGGTTGTTTATTCCTGGTCTACCATATCCTTCTAATGCAAGTATCATGGCTGTATAACTTTATGGCACTGGGGAGTTACTCTTGAACTTCCTCTTTAATTTGCTCCTGTGACCTTTGGCTGCAGGCAGCTGAACCCCAAAGCCTCCAAGCTCAAGTCTTGCATGTAGGATGCCTGCTATTTATTTAGGAGTATCTGAAATGCAAGACTGATGAGTTTGATATGAGACTAGTGATAGTGCCCCAGATCTGTATGACTTAACTATGCTCAGTCAGTATAATTTTGAACTGATTTGGCATGAGGCATAAACAAACACTTCTGCTAAAAAAAAAAAAAAAAAACTTACAGGAATTTGAAGAAAAAAGCTAACATGCATCAGTTCTGAATGATGCCCGAGTGGTATGTGCAAACTGCTACAGCCATGTTTAATTTCAAGGTCTTCAAAACTTGCTCACTTTCACTGGCTTACAGAAAGCAGCATCTGCTACTAAGAAGTGGAAGGGGAAGAAGTTGGGGAAGTGAAGTAGCTATCTGACCTCCCAGATTTGTTTTTCCTGCTGTAGCAGTGGAAGGGAGGCAAACTCAAGACAAGCCTCCAATAATTTACTTCCATACCTAGAAAATTATAACATTTATAAAATTTTTCTATATCTAGAATCCAAGTACAAGGTATCTGGTTTTCTAGACTAGACTTCGGTCTCCCACAGGTGCCTACTCCAGCCATGTATTGGAGTGTCTATTTGTTGACTGTTCACCTAACCCATAGCATCAGCAATACAATTTCAGGAAACAAGTTTTTTTTAATTTTATTGGCAGAAGCACACTCTTTAGGATATTAAATGCTTCCATAATTAGAGAGGAATTAAGCAAGGATTTTGTGGATCCAAGTTCTAGATTCAAGCAGTAAGTCCTCTTGTGGCTCTAGCTTTTTGCTGCTTTGTCATCAGAATATTCCAGAGCTTGGAGAGTGCAATTACATGCTAGCCCAAAACATCCAAGTTACAGAAAACTTTTTTAGTTTAAAGAATTTTATACATTCATCTGAAAGATTTAAGGAAAGTCTTTTTAAATTAAAAAACAACTAAGATTAATTCTTCACTACGTAGTCCATTAGGTTTCCACAGCAAGGCACAAGAATTGTTTTACTGTTTTGCAGGATCAGTCAGTTATGAAGTCATACCATGTTTCCATCAAAAAAATAAAATAAAAATCACTCCATTAAATCCTCTAAAAAATGGTCTTAACAGAAATTGTCCAGCAAGTTCCTGTTCTGCAATTTTGCCAGGTATCACTAACCTGAAAAAGATAAAACCACACATATTACACTCTTGCCACATGCTAATAGATTAAAGGTTCACGCTGATTGTTTATACCACGGGTGCTCAACCTCTGCCTACAGGGTTCCCCACAGCTTGGGAAGTTAGGCAGCAGGGGAGCAGTGGTAATTAAGACTGCCACCTCTCTGCTGCTGCCAAATACTCAAGTCCTGCACAGTGGGATAGAGCTGGGCCATGTCCCCTCCCTTTACACAGCCATAGTGGAGTCAGACCATTCCCCCACAGCCACATTGGGCCTGGACCAAACCCCTTCCCCTACATGGCTGGACTGGGGCTAGGCTGCCCTGTATCCCTCGTCCATGCTGCCAGATGGGGGCCTGCAGCACCCATCCTGGGCTCCAGATCAGAACCACTGGTTCAATCTGGCCCATGGAAAAACTAGGTGTCACGATCCTGCCCACGATGGAAAATGGTTAAGCAATGCTGGTTTATACCAAAATAAGTCATTAGCTCACTTAGGTTACAATTTAGCCAGACTAGAACACTTACAAATTACAGTTTCTTTGATGGTAAATTTACTAGCATTAATCCACAAGGATTATTATTTCAAACAATTTGTTTGTATGGGCTCAAGTTGACCCAGCCTACTTCTAATGATTTTGATGCAATTCAAAGAAAAGAAAACAAACAAAAAACACGCTGTACTTCTGGTATGGATAGTAGTAGCCAAATCTCAAGATATATAGGTTTTGAAGATAACATTCTCTCTCCTTGGGAGGGAGAAAGTGCTTTAACATCCCTGCAGGTCCCAGAAATCACCATTTAGGAGATGGGGGCATTGTCCCTTGGTTCAGACCCAGCTTGGCCCCACCAGCAAGTTTTCAAACAAGTCTGATTTTGCTTCATTGAATGTGGATCTGGTTTGTCAAATGAATGTCTTGCTTAAGCAACCAGAAGTCAACCACCACCTTTTAGAGTGAAGGTCAAGCTAAAAGAATGCAAGAAAAAACTAGGCTTCTCTGGAGACAGAGTTGAAAAACTTATTCTGGCAGAGCCTGAAGCTAACTGGGCAAAGATTGAGTCTCCAAGGGAAACTAACTAGGCAAGTATTTGTTAATTATGTTGTGATCAGTTTTACTGCTGTAGATGTTTACTTGTAGACCAGACCATCAAAACCTATACATCAGAATCAGGGTGTCAAACTCATCTGGTCCTACCAGCTGGATGAGTAGCATGGGGTGAGTCCACAGGCTGGACTGGGCCCATGGACCCCTTCCCCTCTCTCTGCATACCAGCCTGGGTCCCATGCTGCATGTGATGCAGATCCCAGAACAACTGAGACAAGTGCTGGACACACCATAGTCCAGCTGAGGGCTTGTAGCACAGATCCCAGCTAGGGCCAGATTATGTGTGGTGTGGCACCTGCTCCAGCCAATCTGGGATCTGTATCACAAGTGCTGACCCATGCAGGGCAGCCCCAAAGTAACCACAATGCTGGTCTGACATGCACTATGCATTTAACATTAAAATATAGCAAACTTTAGGTTACTTTTCCAAACAGGATGCACTTTTATCTATGCTGGTGTTTGGACACAGTAATAATACAAGAGAAAAAAAAGCATCCTATGACAGAGCTTGGCTACATTAAATATCTCCCCAGTAATAGACCACAGTGCACACCAAGTGCCCATGGCATCCTGCCAAGGATTTCAATATTAGGTCATTGCGTTAAGAGCTGCTGGTTCCACAGCCATGCAAACCCCTCTTTGAAATGACCTTGAGCTACACTGTGTAGCATTTCTGTTAATGCATCAGCACTGCCAGCACAGACTTACATTTGACAGAGAAGGAATTCTAGCTGTATTGCAAATATCAGGTCTTTGTCTTCCTTTGGGATCTGTCGAAATGCTCACTAGCAAATGACTATAAAAGAAAGTCACTAGATTAGATCAGAACAAAGTGAATAATCAAGCAGTTCTGAACCTGTGGTCAAGACAATGAAGGACAAACACTATTAATTTGCTAACCTTTTCAGGTTCATTACCAGCCTATTAGTACCAGTCATCTAATGAAGTGGTCTTCAGTGCACTCTCAGCAATTAACGAACATTAATTACCCATCAGGATTTTTGCCAATAATCTGAGATTTAATTTCAGCTCAAACTATTAAGAACAAAAACTACAGAAACAGGCTGCCCAACTGTGTTAAAATTTGTTAAGTTCTCCATGCCATTTACTAACCAAAACTTCTGCACAGTAGTGTTGTGCATACTAGAGGGCTCCATCTTCAATCCCTTGTTTCCAACAGATGTAATGCTACCTCAGTAGCAATGCATACATCTGATGGATTCACTTTATGGTCATGTCCACAGCATACTAGAAACAGTGTTTTCCTAGCAGCCTTGGTAATGACCAGGTATTTGCCAAAGTATTTCTCATGTTACAAACACTAACTTGAACTGTGATGCAGTTGAATTTCATTCCAAATATTTATCTATTAACCTTTACATGTGAAGGGACATATTTCATCTGGCAGCAGAGAATAACTTAATGCTCTAAGATTTCAACTGACCCAGCCTGACCATGTCTACATGTTCAAATAATGTGCATTAAATCTAGTATCTCCATTGTGAGGCTTCACCAGGCTTAAAATCAGGGTAATTAAGCTATGGTTTCTGGCCATCCCCAACCAGCTCACTGGGAACCCACCCCCTCCCCAAAACTTGCCAACAAAGCCCTGTACTCTTGGAGCATGGGGGTGAGGGGTAGGGCCATCTACAGGGGGTATGGTTATGCAAATAATGAAGTGAGGGGCAGGGAAAGGAATGGGAAGGTGGGATTGGAGGCAGAAAGTGACAGGGAATGAGATGGAAGGGGAGCTGCCTCAACCCCACCCCCCTCCATTGCCTGGACTGACCCTGTCTCAGATTTGCTACCTTCTCCCCCAATTCCCCCTCCCATCCTACTCTGTTTCTCCACTTGCAGCTTTCCTTTCATTTTTACCCCCATTCTGTGATTTCACAATGTCTTACAAGTTGCCCAAAACCACAATTTTGGTAGGTCCCTAGTCATGTTAAGTTGCCATCAGTGCAACAAGTATCCTATATTTCACAAGTGGAACGAGTATATTAAGTGGCCTGCCCTTAATATCAAGACACAGCTGTCCTTCTTGGTTAGCTTTTCTACTTTTATTTCAGGTTTTCATATTTTGATGTTTGCAATAAAAACATTCCAAACTGAAAAGGTAACCTTAACTGTCAAACAAGCTGTCAAGATACTGTGTTCCAGCCAGTCCTCTCATCACAAAGAAGTCTTGCCCATCCTATGACTGTATCAAGGAGAGCCATTTAGCAGTTTTCTAACCAATGGTTCTCAACCTCAATAGACTCAAGGTACCACTCAGGAAGTGCCAGCTCTTACCTTCCACTTTTTATTTTTTACTACAGCAAAATAGTAGAGCAATTTTCTGTTGCAAAGATCTCAAAGACCACAATAGGTCAGAATATTTCCTACTATGTGTTCTTATTTGAAATCTCCAGGTTTACCCATGTAGGTGTTTGCACACCTTATAGGTGCTCCACAGTATTAGCACTGTTAAGAGGCTCCCACTCTACCTCAGTACCCTGGTTGAGATCCACTGTTCTAAATACTACAGATATACACAAGTATAAGCTGTCATGTTCCCCCCGTCAACTCAAGCCTGTATCAAGAGAAAGACTATTTTTAACAAGCGCAATAGAATTAAAAGCAAATGTGAGCTACTGGATTGCTGCAACACTATACCTGCCCCCCTCCCACATTTACTTGACTTCACAGCAAAATCTGACAGGAATGTCAGCTGGGACTTTTCATACAAGGAAAATAGTGAATTCAGTTTGGGATGCACACTTTCTGCTAATGTTATCAGAAAAATCAATTTTTGTATTTTTGCATTTGGTTTCAATGTCAAGAACTTAAGACTCACGTCTGGGCCTTTTGAGCTTTCTTCAGATACAATTCTTTGAAATCATAGGGTTGGAAGAAACTTCTGAAGATTTCTACAGCAAGGATTCAGTGAAAAAAATATCAAGTTTCAGAGCGTGTTAAGCAACCGTACAAACACCACAGGTTAAAAACTGTGGGGTGACCAGCATGAATAAACACATCAATTAGAAGTGGAAAAAAAAAAAAAACAATAGCTATTAACTCTTACCTAGCAACTTAATATTACTGAGAAACCTTCCATCACCATTAAATGCTGCAGTCAGTGCCTACATGGAGAAAGAACACATTACTATCCATGCCTAGAGTTAGCAATGCTTGGCACAACATTAAGTTTGTCTTGCAATTTTATCCCATACAACTAACAAACAGTTGAACGGGTAAAGCGAAACTACAAGTTTGCTCTATGAGGCATTTCCAACGACCTGAACCTACAGAAGAGGTCCCATCGGGATAGGCCTCAACGTTAGTACTCTACACTAGTAAGAAATACAGGTGAGATTTCTCCATTCAGAGTGAATCTGCACAACTTTGCCATTTAAGTAAACTGATCTGAACAGAAACTTACTGTCAGTAGACAGTACAGTTGTTTATACACTATTTAAGCTACCATAACCTCACCATTTGGTGAAGCTAAAGTAACAGCATTTTAGCAGTAATACTAAAAGCAAAAGCCAATGCACTATGTTTTAGAAAGGAAAGCACCGGGGGGGGGGGGGGGGG